TCTCTCTCTCTCTCTCACACACACACACACACACACACACACACACACACACACACACACACACACACGCACACACATACACACACACACACACACACACACACTCACACACACACTCGCACAGGGGTAGATTCATTCGGTTTTGCTCATCCTATCGATGGAAGTACGCCTTCTCAGGCTCTCTCTCTCTCTCACACACACACACATACACAGGAAGTACGCTCTCTCTCTCTCACACACACACACACACACACACACACACATACACACACAGGAAGTACTCTCTCTCTCTCTCACTCTCTCACTCACACATACACACACACACACACACACACAAAGAGTTGCAGGCGGGCGGTCATGCCTTCGCCCTAAAACAAACCTAACAAAACTCGGGCCGGACATTACCTGCGACTATGAATATGCCCTGCCTGCGTGCTCTAACTGCACCATACCATGTCGCGGTACAGCACATCAGTTCCACAGCAGGCCTGCCACGTTCTGTCCTCGCTCCCTCCAGGCTGTGCTCCCTCGCCGTGGGCGGTACAGTGTTTTCACGTAGTCAGCAGCCTGGAAAAGTCTCACGGGAGGATTCCTCTCCGGAATTTTGTGCCAGCTCTAGAGGGTAGAGGGGAGGGCGTGTCTTTCCTGGAAAAGTCTTGGAAAAGTCTCACGGAAGGCAGCAGCGAATAGCGACCAAGAGTGCCACAAAAAAAAAGGAAAAACAAAGAAAACAAGAACAAAACAAATGAGTGCCGACGGAGACAGACATCCTATTGGCTCAACTGATTTCCAAAGGGTTTCCCAAGCACATTTGGTCCTCTGTGGTGGGGTCCCCGCAAAACTGCTTTCCAGCTTTCCAAATTTCTTTGCCCGTTTTTTTCATCCGGACGGTTTTCCATCCTTTTTCCTGTGGGTCCATCCCTACGCGTGTCATCCTTGCGCAGGGCCCATGCTAATCTTCTCTGTATCGTTCCAATTTTAACGGATGTCCCGAGGGACCAAAAGGGCATTCCGGGGCTAGGTCCCACTTACACGAATCAAGAGATATTGACCGTAGATAGCAGAGATCAACGGCCATAATCCCGTAATCCGTGCAAGTGGGACTTTGCCCCCGGTGTACCCACATCTTTTAGGGGCATTTCGCATATTTTTCACACGCAGGGGCCATGCTAATCTTCTCTGTCCCGCGGGACCAAAAAGGCATTCCGGTGTACCCACATCTTTTAGGGGATGTCCCGCGGGACCAAGAAGGCATTCCGGTGTATCCACATCTTTTAGGGGTATTTTCGCAGATTTTTTCACACTCCCACAGGAAAATAGAGTTGCGAAAATCGGAATACCGCGTAAGGTCGCGGTGTGGAGAGCTTATTGCCAGGACGGCGGCAATGTTTTTCCTCATCGAGAGCAAGCAGATCTCATCGTGAGACCGCTTCATCGGTCGGCGGCGTGCGCCGTTTGTTGTCTGTGCGGTGCGGTGTCCGCTGCGCGGCGCTGCGGTTGCGTGCTTCTTCCTCCGGACTTGGTTGGTTGCGGCCGCCATATCCTCTCTCTCTTTGTTGTCCGGCGCACGTGCGGTAGGCAGCCATGGGGAAGGAGAAGTCACATATCAACATCGTGGTCATCGGCCATGTCGACTCCGGCAAGTCGACGACCACGGGCCATCTCATCTACAAGCTGGGTGGCATTGACAAGCGTGTGATCGAGAGGTTCGAGAAGGAGGCGGCTGAGATGAACAAGCGGTCCTTCAAGTACGCTTGGGTGTTGGACAAGCTGAAGGCGGAGCGCGAGCGTGGAATCACCATCGACATCGCTTTGTGGAAGTTCGAGACGACGAAGTACTACGTGACTGTCATCGATGCGCCCGGCCATCGCGACTTCATCAAGAACATGATCACGGGCACTTCGCAGGCGGACTGCGCTGTGCTGGTGATTGACTCGACGACGGGAGGTTTCGAGGCGGGTATCTCGAAGGATGGGCAGACCCGTGAGCATGCCCTGCTGGCGTTCACGCTGGGCGTGAAGCAGATGATCTGCGCGTGCAACAAGATGGATGCCACGACGCCCAAGTACTCGGAGAACAGGTACAACGAAATCAAGAAGGAGGTGTCGACCTACCTGAAGAGGGTCGGGTACAACCCTGACAAAATCCCGTTCGTGCCSATCTCCGGGTTCGAGGGCGACAACATGATCGAGAGGTCTTCGAACATGGCGTGGTACAAGGGCCCGATCCTCCTGGAGGCTCTCGATCTGATYTCGGAGCCGAAGAGGCCGTCCGACAAGCCTCTGCGTCTGCCTCTCCAGGACGTGTACAAGATTGGCGGTATTGGAACGGTGCCCGTGGGAAGGGTGGAGACGGGCGTCATCAAGCCTGGCATGGTGGTGACGTTTGCGCCCTCTGGKCTGACCACTGAAGTGAAGTCGGTGGAGATGCACCACGAGGCAATGACCGAGGCGCTCCCTGGGGACAACGTGGGGTTCAACGTGAAGAACGTGAGCGTGAAGGAGTTGAAGAGAGGCTTCGTGGCCTCGGACTCGAAGAACGACCCCGCGAAGGAGGCGGCGAGCTTCACGTCCCAGGTGATCATCATGAACCACCCTGGGCAGATCGGTAACGGGTATGCGCCGGTGCTGGATTGCCACACGTGCCACATCGCGGTGAAGTTTGCAGAGCTGGTGGTGAAGATCGATCGGCGAACGGGCAAGGAGCTCGAGAAGGAGCCCAAGTTCCTGAAGAACGGAGACGCTGGGTTCGTGAAGATGGTTCCAACGAAGCCGATGTGTGTTGAGACCTTCGCCCAGTATCCCCCTCTGGGTCGTTTCGCCGTGCGTGACATGAGGCAAACGGTGGCCGTCGGTGTGATCAAGGCCGTGGAGAAGAAGGAGAAGGAAGGCAAGGTGACGAAGGCCGCCATGAAGAAGGGAGGGAAGTGAGCTCGGAGCTTGTCCTTTCATGCATGTGGAATCCCTGCGGGATTCCGACCTGTTTCTACTGTTGGGAAGATCCCGTCATCTGAGTGCCGTAATTACGTATGATTTTCTGAACCACGCAGAGGCAGCTTTAGCAGCTGGTGGTGGTTTCGTCGGCTGTTTGACAGCTGGAGAGAGCAGACGCGGGAATACTCGGTAGGACGTAGTTCTGTTTTTTTTGACGGGGAGTGGGGTTAGGTGACGACGATGTTTCCGAGAAGAAAAAACGTTTGTTGGGCTGAGGGGGTGGTCGTTTCGGCGTCTTTCGGGTGCGGTAGGTCAAGGGAAGACATTTGTTGGGTGATTCTTTCTTCATCGTTCTCATCTTGGAGCTCTGTGCGGGTATTCGTTCGGTCAATATGATGGTCGGACGCTATAGCTCGATCGCGACAGACCTGGGTACTCGATATGCGCGTGGGTAGTGAATTTGGGAGATTTCTCAGCTATTTCTTCCTCGTGTTTTAGTTAATTCTTTTGCGGATTGCCGAGTAGCCTGTTGAGCTGATTCCTTAATAAGTTAACGTTTTGTTTGGATTGTTAGGGTATCGAACGAAAATGAGTTTGTTCTCTTTCTCTTTGAAGAGTTTCTATGGCGGAGGGAAACAATTTGTTGGTTGGGAATCGATGATGATTGATTGGCCCTTCCTCACGGCAGTCTGATTTGGGTAATGGATTCGCGGTGTAGACTGGCGTGATGAAACTATCGGCACAGCGCTCAACATTCCTTCTCTCGTTTGTTTTTGTATTTAAGGCAGGCCGCTCCCCTGTTGACATTCCCCGATCTTTATCCCTGTGTGTGAAGGTCTTCCGACTTCGACATTCCCCTTGCCCCTGCCATTATTACAACACATTGAATGTCATATCTGACTTCGACAGTCCCCTTGCCCCTGCCCTTATTACAACACATTTAATGTCATACAACCCCTCGACGCTTCCCTTTTCTTCCCCCCTCACATCGTCGTGATCCCGGGTGTCAGTTTCCCCTCTTGCGCATACGGCCCTCATAGCCGGTTTCTATACTCCCCGCCGGTTTGTAGGTATCGCATCTTGCAATGCCCAATTGTGCTGTCCTCTGGCTGAAGTCCACCTCTTTTGCATGATGAAGTATTTGTGGTTGCTGTGACACACTCGCCAGTCTCTCTGTCGACGGTGTATAGCATTTTGCACCCTTCATGAATAATGTCAGACTAGTCCTCCCGTCTCCGTTCCCCATTTCCTTTGTACGCATTTGATCGCCTTGTGACCCAGCGTGCCTGAAGTATATTGTACTCTCTGTGTTTCCCTGCCTGTCGTCCTCCGCCTGTAACCCATTTTCCCTCAACTCCTTGGAAAGAATCTTCGAGCCATCGATGACATTCGTCTGACTTCTGTGAACCTACTGCTCTTGACGGTTTCCCTCCCTCCTTGCTGTGGGAGGTGACGAGGTGTTTGGGTCGGGATTTGTCTGTGTGCCAGACTGAATTTGCCACAGTAGGTAGCCTAACATGTTTGGCGGCAAGTCACTAGTAGTAGGCCATGGTTTGGCGGGAAGTCTGCCGTAGTAAGCGGTTGGACTATCCCCGGTCATTATAGCCGTACTTCAGACAATTTCAGTCTTGACACGGCGATGATGACCGGGCGTTGTATGCGGGTGAAGGCGGTAGTAGCATTTCCGCACTCGGAAATCCTGTTCGGTGGAGGAGCAAGTTGCTCATGGGTGGTGTTGACGGTCAACAGGTCTGTGCAACTGTGAAGTAGCGTTCTCTGCATCCGTCTATTACGCGTAAATTGGAAGTTTTGTGTCCCGAAATTTAGATGCTCACTGTTGTCTTGTTGTTGTGAAAAATAAGCAAAGAAAACATGCTCACTGTCGTCTGGTTGATGGAATATGCAAGGCCTACATCCAATTTGTAAAGAGCGAGTTGTTTGATTGCATGTCGGTCGGGTGCGTCCACTTGCAATTGCACCTAGCCTATTGAGAGTAAATTTCATGCTTCTAAATGTATGGAGTCGCGATAGCAGTGTCTATGCACTGGCCTAATCGAGCTCCATTTCACGCTTCTGAAGGTTGAGCCGCAAAAGGTGAATTTCACGCCTAATTCTCTCTATATATGCACTGGGCTGGGGTGTGGCCGTCCCACGACCCATCTTGAAAGGGGTGTAAATGACACGGTAACACATCCCCCGTGGTCGTATGGGCCAACTGCTTCCCCGAAATTGAATGCCTATGAATTGCAGGACGCGAATATATAAATATAGGAAGTCCTTGCGCTGTGATAGTGATCGGGGGTTCTGTTTTGGTTGAAATGCGACAGGTTTGCGTGGTGCGGCCGCCTTGCCTGGGCCGTGCTGAGCTGTCCCAACCGAAATGGGCCCTGCAGTTTGATCTTCCCTGGGTGACCTGGTTGCAAGAAGATGCCGAGTGGCTATTTTTAGATGTGAGGAAATGCGGCGGTAGGGTCGCATGCCGCCGCGTTTTGGATGCGAAAAGATAAGACGTTTGTTGCGTCGCAGTGGAGGTAAACCACTCTGGTAGAAGGCTTAGGCTTAGGGTACATATTTACCGCGGCAGGATATTAAGCTTTTGGGCTGTGACGGATATAATACGTACCGCATATCGCGGTTTGTATCTCTTTCGATTGCAAGCTCTCTTCGTATATCTACCACCTGCCTTCTGATCTTCTGATCGCGTGTGATAGAGTAAAACCTTTTTCACCGTGGTTCGTATGAGATTCGTGCATTTTGTTAATGTTCCGCTGTCAAGATCGGACTATTCACGATGTCGGTCTTCGCTATAACGAAGTTCTTTCCAACAAAGAGTGTGACCACGCAAGACCTTCGAGTGTTTTCCTTGCAGAGTTTCGACGACGGGAGTGTTTTCCTTGCAGAGCTTCGACGAGGAGTTATTCGCTTGTCCTACGAAGACTCGGCGAAGAGGTATGTCGAAATTTTGGACCGTTGTAGATGTGGTGGGCGAGGATCTGCCTTCAGCTAATATACGAAGAGGAATTTTCGAATCTCCCAAGATCTGCGATCTATCGAGCAGCCTATTACTAGACTCTTATCTGCTTGAAAATGTCTTATGGCCTTGCAAGAGAAAATCAGAATGGGACACGCTGAGTGGAAGTATTACGGGATCAAGACTAAGAGTAACCACGGTTTTGACGTTATCTCTACTGCCGATCTTTCAGCTGCTTCCTTCATGCTTTGCTCGCCGATGTTTCAGCTACTTCCTCCAAGCTTTGTTATCCAGTTCTTCGAAGATCAAAGTTAAGATCCTACTCTTTAGATCGATCAAGTTAAGATCCTTCCATCGTATCCAAATCTAGCATCCCATTCAGGGTACATAGGGATCAGCCTCTTGACAGCAGTCGGAATTTAAGTCAAGTAGGCTAACTTAGGCAGGGGTGAGGGGTGGTATATCCTTCTCAAGGGAAGCAATCAATGTCGTCCACTCGGACTTCTCAACCGGAATGGGGAGGAGCGTGTGTGCGACTATTGTGACTATTGTATTCATCTTTGACTTTCGGGGGGAATAGGAACCGGACTGTCGGCGTGTCGCTCCCCAGAATGGCAGGAGCCAGAACCGGGAGGATCTGATTAAAAAAAGAAAAGAAAAGGGAAGATCCTATTCTGTAGATCGATCAAGTTAAGCTCCAGCGGTTTGAAGAGGAAGAGCGTCTTTCAAGTGTCTTTGCATCCGTAGTCGAGTTCACAGCTTTTGCTCTTCTTCCTGGTCGCCCTCTTATCTCCCTGCGAGGGACTACAAGATCAAGGTGACTGTGTCGAGATCTTACTGGGGTGTCACAAAGGGCAGTATAGTGTGTTTCTCTTCTCCCCATCTGGCTCTTGTACTGCTTGTTCCTTATAGAACCTTTTCTCAGAACCCCGTATATTTACGCACCGTCAGGTTGTTGTTGACATCTGGTTTCTTGACGTCCATACCTCTGATCTCACCACGGTACTAACAGTTTCCCTCCTCACTGTCTATGTCATCGCTCTGTCATCTCACACTTGACTTAACATTGCAAATCAAGACAAAGAAGAGGTACTCGTATAACTCTGCTGTTCTGTTCGGGAATTTCCTGCTGACAGATCAAAGTTTAGTTAAAAACAGCTGATGGAGAATATGGGTGGAGAAGGGAATTGGGAAGTAGAACAATTGTGTGGGACAACCCCAAGGCAGAGATTGAAAACTGTGGAGTACCTTAGAACCAAGCTGAAAGTTTGCCATAGCCCGGCAGAGAGTACGGAAGAACTGATCTTCGATAGTGTCCCATTGGAATGGAGAGTACCGGTCTTCGAAGACCCGAATACAACGTACGATCAATATATAGCAGTGTTTGGGGCATCTTTTAGTCTAAATAGTAAATAAAGCAATAATGACCGTACGTTGTATTCGGGTGAAGATCGGTAGTGCTTAAAGGAGGAGAAATTGCATGGGAGGAAAGAAGGGGAGTGTGAGTAGAAACCATCAGTATCCGTTAGATAATAGATTATATCAGATACACGAACACACAGCAAAACATAGCCGAAATTTAGGTATTTGAAATGCTGGGGACAGAAAAATCGCTGGTGTCCTTTGGGACATCCCTTAAAATTGGAACGATACAGAAGATTAGCGTGGCCCCTGTGCAAGGATGACACGCATAAATAGAGAAATGGTCCAAATTAAAAAAAAAAAAAATTACAAATCGCATGAGGGATGAGTCTAATACACTAAGAATTGACACCAGGACGCTAATAAAAGTCGGAGTTTTGAAAAAGAATCAGAAACAAGTAGTCAGAAGAAGTGCAGGCCAGCAAGAGGAAGTCTTACCTTTCAAAAAAAAAAAAGAAAAAAAAAGAAAAGAAAGGACAGACATAGCTGAGTTGGAGTTTGACCTTAACAGAATTGTGGTCGTTGGTTGGTTGAAATCTGAGACGAGGGGGAGGCAAGAAGCGGGTGGACCTACACGAGTATGAGGCTAAACCACCAGTACTTCCTAAAGTACTGTACGGGCCACTACAGGAGCGCCCAAATTCATCCAACTAGAAACATTTCTACACGAGTATGAGGTTAAACCACCAGTACTTCCTAAAGTACTGTACGGGCCACTACAGGAGCGCCCAAATTCATCCAACTAGAAACATTTCTACACGAGTATGAGGTTAAACCACCAGTACTTCCTAAAGTACTGTACGGGCCACTACAGGAGCGCCCAAATTCATCCAACTAGAAACATTTCTACTCTATTCTTTTCCGCGGCCGATAGGTGGTCCAAGTACTGGTGGTTTAAAGACTGCACTATAGAACTAGGCTTGGTCACTTGCATACCCACTTTTGGGCTGATGCAGATCAGCTATTACAGACACGGCCTGTGCACCACCCAAGGGTGTTGTATGTTGGGTCTGGACTATGATTGGTTTGCTTGCCGTTCGTGGTCCATGGTTCTGATAATTGTGCAGTTGTTTCCCTGTCTCCTACAGCATATCAACCAAGACTAGTTGTCGCTGTAGCTCAGTAGGTTTGAGCTGAGGATTGTATGGAAGAGGTTGACGGTTCGGAATTGGATCACAATTGGATCACATTGAACTAAGCGATATACAGAGTGTTGTTGTCAATCCTACTTGTCCATGCTCATGGGTATCTTGGTCTAACGGAATGGGCTCCAGGTATTCACCCTGGGTTCAGTTGTGGCTGGCAGCGCAGTTACCTCAATCCTACTTGTCCATGCTCATGGGTAACTTGGTATAACGGAACGGGCTCCAGGTATTCACCCTGGGTTCAGTTGTGGCTGGCAGTGCAGTTACCTTAGTACGGGCTTGTCGGAGTGCTGGAACAGGCTCCAGGTATTAGTTCTGGAGTCACCTTAGTACGGACTTGTCTGGCTACTAGCTGGTGGATTTGGGGGTCCAGTCGTGGTTGATAATAGCACTTACCTTGGTACAGACTTATAGGGGTACCAGAACAGGTAGTGGTCCAGGGGGTTCTAGTAGTGTGGCTGACATAGTTGTCACCTTAGTACAGACTTGTTGAGGTATGGAACGGGCTCCGGTACTGGTCCAGGGTCCAAAGTAGTGTGGCTGGCATAGCTGTCACCCTAGTACTGGCTAAGATCCTACAAGGGAATGGAGGATCTTCAGCTCAACCAGAGTACCTATCCCCCTATCGACAGGCTATCCACTAGGCTATCAACTACGATCTTAAGTCTGCTGTGTTAGTAGCATGTCATACCTAGCTCCCGAAGTCTCCTTGGAATCGGGCTTCAACAGGGGCTGAGCAGGGGGTAGGGGTCTCTGCTTAGCCGGGTGCCTGCAACCGCTGTCTGGTCAGGTTCCCGTCTAGATGGTGATGGGTGATGGTCCTGGGTGGTTAACACTAGGGTAGGACAAGGGGGTTGGAGGTGTGCCAGGGCAAAAAGATGAGAGGAAGGGTGGGTGGGGCCTTCAGAGGGGTTCATCTGGACAACTGTGTGGCCGGTTACTGTCATCTGTCTGTGATTCCACCTCTACAGCAACCTGGGCTTCAAAATAAAAAATGAAAAATGAAGTAGTGACCAATCTGAGGGCACACAACCACGAATAGCGAAGCAGTGGGAAAAGCCAATGCAAATTGCGCAGCAATGGAATCAAGGGGCTGAGCTCAGCTGGTACATCCATGAAACTGTTGAAATACATACTCAACTTCAAATCCAGATACTTTCAGACGAACAGAGGAAACTCCCAAAGCACAGACTGAAAACATTGCTGATTTTTTAGTTTTGCCGCTGGAATGAATGCCGTGCTCAGCGTGCTGACATTCTTGCGTTCCGCTGACTATGTCTGTGTGTGAGTGTGTGCTTGCTGACTCGTGTGCCTGCCTGAGTGCTTGTTGTTCTGAGTGTGTGTGTGGCCTGCCAGAGCAGTTGTTTGTTCGGAAGGCCCGAGGGGGCTGGTAATTAGCACCAAAGATTATATATAACAAGTGGACCCGCTGCAGCTACGCTGCGGCAGAGGAGAGGGACGAAGAGGGAGGCGGGGCCGCTGTTGTTACACTGACGGTTTTTTTTTTTTTTTTTTTTTTTTTTTTTTTTTTT